TCAGAATAGTAACACGTGGAGATTATCCACAATTAGTCAAAACTAATGTAAATAGAAATTTAAATAAATGTATAGAAGCAGGCCTTGAGAATTTCCAAATAGAAGTAGTAAGTGACAAACCAATAGGGTTGGTATCTCATCGTAGAATTAGAGAAATTGTTGTACCTGCAAATTATCGCACAAGTAGTGGTGCTTTGTTTAAAGCACGTGCTTTACAATACTGCCTTGAAAATTCAGTAAATGAGTTAGCTGATCATGATTGGATTGTACATTTGGATGAAGAAACTTTAATGACAGAAAATTCTATTCGTGGAATATTAAATTTTGTATTGGATGGGAAACATCAATTTGGTCAAGGCCTAATCACATATGCAAATGAAGATGTTGTTAATTGGATTACAACATTAGCAGACAGCTTTAGAGTAGCAGATGACATGGGAAAATTAAGATTACAATTTACAATGTTTCATAAACCATTGTTTAGTATGAAGGGTTCTTATGTTGTCACTCAGGTAATTAGTAGATTACATTTCTTATTATCAAATCGGATATGCATCTTTTAATAAAAAACAACTTTTATCTTATAGATGGCAGCAGAGAGAGAAGTTTCATTCAACAATGGTTTAGATGGATCTGTTGCAGAAGATTGCTTTTTTGCCATGAAAGCCTTTTCACAAGGATATACATTTAATTTTGTAGATGGAGAAATGTGGGAAAAATCACCATTTACATTATGGGATTTTGTACAACAAAGAAAAAGGTGGCTACAAGGTATATTATTAGTGGTGCATTCCAAAGCAATTCCATTGAAAAAAAAATTGCTACTAGGTATATCTTGTTATTCATGGATAACAATGCCCTTATCTACTTCTAATATCGTTTTAGCAGGACTATGTCCTATTAGTTGTTCTCCACTTATAGATTTTTTGTGTGCTTTTATAGGGGCAGTAAATATTTATATGTACATATTTGGAGTAGTTAAATCATTTTCTTTGTATCGTTTTGGCATTATTCATTTTTTATTATGTTTGTGTGGAGCATTATCAACTATTCCGTTTAATTTAATAATTGAGAATGTTGCTGTAATATGGGGTTTATTTGGTAAAAAACATAAATTTTATGTAGTTAACAAAGAGTACAAACCACCTATAACTGTATGATTGTCTAAGTACTGTCTGCTCAACAACGTATCATATGTGCATATAATCAGTACCTGTAAGTCTATGAAAATAGCAATATCATTGTCGCGAAAAAATATCAATATAGATAGACTTACAACATTGATCAGTGGAAAATGTTTAAAAAACTTAAAATGTTTAATTACTTAAATAAGTATGTAAAGTTTTACTAGGAAACCAAATAATGTATCTACATTCAGTTGTAATCTAATAAGGTAATATTTATTTATTATTTTGAAAAAATTTTAGTATTATTAGTTTAATAAATTTTTTTATAATATTGATCAAATAATTGTTATTGCATATTTATTTTCCAAAGCATTGCGAAATAGCAATATAAATAAAGTTTGAATTTGTTCTTTTATGGCATACATTTTTCTACAATCTATAAAATTGTTAATATAAAAAAATAAATTAAAATTGCATGAAATTCAATCTAAAGAGAGATTATTATTAACAAAAAGCACTTGCAATATATTTCAATCATATACATACTTTCTTTTTATTTTTAATATTATTATTTGTCAGTTAATTTAGAATAATCATATACTTTTATAATCAAAAAATATTAATATCATCTGTGATAGAGATAGAGGGAGAGAGATGTCTAATGGATTAATCTTCATTTCTACTTTGTTAGCCTTGTTAATCTAATTACACACTTTGTAAAGGAACAAAATATAAAAGCTAAGTGCCTCAAAAAGAACAGACATTAAACATTGCAATGAGGTCAACACAATATAACAATATACATAACACCTAATATTCTTATAAGTATCCACTTAGACATCTCTGATTCTATGACATAAATATCTGTCTGTATAAAGTAATGTTATGAATTTAATTCTATTACATTACATTAAATCTTTATAAGATATTACATATAAAATAATTAAATTATTTGATTAGTTAATAAGACAGAAAATTAAGAATTTTTGAAAATAAAAATACATATATAATGAATATTTATATCACATTTACTCCAATTTAATGTGTATTTTGTAATTATACTACTAAAATAATATTTCTAATATTTTATATAAAGATTCATCATTTCTAAATTTTGAATTTTGACTGTTACAATCATTTTCAATTTTTTAGTCCCATTTGAATTAAACAATTAAACGCAGATATTTCTAAAGATTTTATATTTTGGGAAACATTTATCTATAATAAAAGCAGACAAAGGAAAAACGTAATATATCTTCCAAAATAAAACAAAAAAAAAGTTATTTTTTCCTTCCAATACTATTCAATTTTTTGCTATTTAAGAAATTTTAGTCAATAGAATGCTGAAGAATGTGTACTGTATTACTTTCATATGTGCCGACATATCCAATAAGTAAAACCAGAATATAGAGTAAAGATGAAATAAAATCATATTGAAATAGTTTTAATTCTAATCTGAACTAAATATTTTTTTCATAAATTATAAAATCTTGAAATGAAATATGTTTTTATAAGAAGAAATTGTTATTCTAAATTTATGTGCCTCTTGGATCTGTGTTTTGTTGCTTCATGTAATGATATATTCAGATCTTAATATTTAGTGAAGTAATGAGTAGTTGATAAGATTATTCAAAAAGACTTAAGCTATCTAGTCATAAAATTTAAAAGAATTAACACATTACTGACTGTAGAAATGTGTGTAATAATAATACTAAATATGTTAAATGTATTATTACTATATCTATACTATTTATTTCTAGTATATACCTTACATGTGAAAGAATGTGATTCTTTAAGAAAGTAATATGTTAATATAAAAAAAATTAAGTTTAATACTGAAGATTATGAATTAGAATACTTAAAAATGTATATATGTCAACAGTTATATACATATACATGCATGGACCAAACTTGATTTATATTAATAAAATCACTGAGTGTTAGCCTAGAAGGCATTCATTACGTATATAATAAGCATTATGAAACGAAATATTAAAATTAATATACAAATATATGTGTGTGACTTATTTTTTTATTAATCATGTCATAAACGAATCTAGTTAAAACATGAAACCGTTTACTTAAAACTAAATAACAGGCATTTTCTCTACATTTACATATACATATAAAAAAGGCCTCTATATATAGGAAAAATATAAATTTACAAAACGATATCTAAATATAGGGTTTATCGTAACAGTTACATAAAATTATTATTTTTATTACTTAAATGGCTTAATATGTACTTTTATATTTACATATTTATATTACATAAAGTAGATAATCAGCATTAAAACAATTAATAAATGTGTAAGTAAATTTGCCTATATATATGCATTAAGTCGAAAGCGAAGGTGAAAGATTGACCTCTAAAGGATTATGCTTTTTCTTATTAGATGTAGAATCTATATTTTCTAGTAATCTTTCTTGACGTTGCTGATTCACAGGGGGGGTCGCAGGTGTATAACGGTTGGATATCCATCCCTCTAAATGATATCCAATAAAACCAATAACACAACCAAATGGAAGTGATATATACGGAATATATTTATTGGCGATTCTTGCCACAATCTTCGACCACATTTTCTGAAATATAAACAAATAATATACGTATATTCATCTCTCGTTTGTTTATTCATAATGATTTCTATATATGCATGAATACTGGAATAATCTTTGTTTGAACAGTAAATAATAGACAAAAATTTTGCAAATTTATTATGTCATTTATTTAATTCTTTGATCCATCTCTTATAACAATGATTATTTCATAATTGTTTTATGAAAGTACTATGACAAAATTTATACTGAGCATGTATGTGCATATATATGTATATACTGACCAACTAATGTACTTAAAGCTACTTCGATCAAATTTGGTTAACTTTAATCAACGATTCACTCAATTAGTAATGCACCAAACAATAAAGCTTTTAATTGTATATTGTTTTTAACCTATATTTTCATGATATAAATAACCATTTAAAAATCTTATACTTGGGTATAGAAATGCATATATATATATATCTCTTAACTTATTTCAATTAATATTTTGTTTGTTTCATATTATATACAAAATTTATTTGAAAATTATTTGGCACATGAATATCATTTGGCATAACAGTGAATAATAACAAACATATAATAACAAGTAAAATACTATATATAAAAAAGGATCAGAATTTCCAATAACAGCAGTTTCTACCCGATGAGAACTGAACGATCTATATTATTTGATCTAATGATAAATTTTTGACAATATCAAGATTATCTAACATTCTATTCTTTGCTTGTTTTTTGATAATATAATCCATATGATGTTCATATTTTTTGGATTACACATACTTTCTTTATCTATTATATCATTCGCATGACATATATACCAAAGTAAAATCAAGCCAATAATTGTTCAATATACATTTCGAAAAATGTTACTAGATAGCGCTTGAATTATCGTGAGTTTTAGCTCGATATATTTTATATATTGTTACATTTTTTTATTTAAGCACTTTCAAAAAAGGTGTGCAATTTTTCGTTAGTAATGATATAATCAAATAATTACAATTTATTTTCTAAATAACGAGATATCTTACTGTTTTAAAAATTTATTTGTAGCAACGATATCATAAAGATATAACAAAAAATAACACGTATTTATATGTTCCTATATGTGCAGTGAGATTTCTTCTTGCCCAATCTAGTAATCATGACGCGAAGTCGCAGTGTTTGTTGCCTAGTAACTCTTTTTGGTAATTTGTTAGGACATGTGCACATGTGTCCGCTATAAAGGCACTATTTGTGTAATGTCTAATCTGGATAAACTGGTGATCACTATATAGATAAAAGAGGTTTACGTTGAAAATTTCCTTTAATCTTCTTTAAATTTGGTGGTGGGAATTTAGGCGCTAAATGGTTTTAGTTATACTTCGTTATTACAAAGATTTTCATATTTTTTGTTTCTTTCGAAGATGGAGCATAAGAATGACAAAATTTTAATAACGAAAGAGAATAATAATTCTAATATAAGAATAAGGAGTAAGTATAATTAATGTAATATTTTTAAATGTATGCGTATATAAGAGATTAAATAATTACTTTATTATATCAACAACTATTATTTGAGGTGAATCGATTGATAATAAATCTTTGATTACAATTGCCGATCAAGTTAAATTTAATAATTCAGTTATTGAAGATGATGTTAAGAAAGAAAAAAAAAGAAGGCGAGATGAGATTAATATTGAAGAAAAGCGCATTGCACAGGAAGAATATAATAAAATATTACACGAACAAAGATATAAACGGTTGATGCATCTTTTAAATCAAAGTCAATTTTATGCTAATTATCTTATGAAAAAAATTACTCCAACTTCATCGCAAGAGATAAAAAATAAAAAAGATGAGAGAAACGGAATATCAAATATTAATGAGAATATACCACCAAAAAAAGGAAGAAAAAAAAATACTCAAGAATATGATTTAAAACAATATTTTTCTCCAAAGGTGAATCACATATATATTATTTTAGAAAAGTATAATAAATTCAAACATATAATAAATATAATGTAAAATGTACCTATTTTTATGTTTTATATTTTGAAGTATATAAATTATTTTTAACATTTAAAATTTCTTTTAGATGGAAAAACGCGTAAATTCGAATAAATCAAAAATGAATTTAAGTGAAGAAGAAATTACAGAAGAATTATTAAATTTAGATACTCAAGTACAAATAGATGGCTGTGAAAATTCTAATACTCCAAAATATTTTAATGGTATTTTATATAAATATCAAAGGGAAGGTTTGCAATGGTTAAAAGTATTGTATGAGAATGGATTAAATGGTATCTTAGCTGATGAAATGGGACTTGGAAAAACAATTCAAATAATAGCATTGTTATGTCATCTTATAGAGAAGCATCAAGATGGCCCTTATTTAATAATTGTACCACTTTCTACAATGCCAAATTGGATTTCAGAATTTGAAAAATTTGCTCCTTCTTTACCAGTAATAATATTTCATGGACCAAAAAGTGAAAGATTAGGTCTTTCTAAAAAAATTAAACAATCTCACCAGGTTATGGGAGGATATAAAACACAACCTATTGTAATAACCACATTTGAAATACCATTATTAGAAAATAGTTTTTTTATGTCCCAGAAATGGAGATACATAATTATAGATGAAGGTCATAGAATTAAAAATCATCAATCTCTATTAGCTAAGTAAGTTGGTATCTGTAATGTATAACATATTTGAAATGATATTTAGGACTGAAAGTTATTTTATTTATATTCTTCTTTGTACTATTATAATTTAAAATCTGTATCATTTTATAGAGTCGTGAGAACATTTCCATCTATGAATCGTCTTTTATTGACTGGTACACCACTTCAAAATAATCTAGCTGAACTATGGTCACTTCTTAACTTTTTATTACCAGAAATATTTAATGATTTGGCTGTATTTGAATCCTGGTTTAATGCGAAAGAGTTACAAGGTACAGAGGGTACTGAAAAGATTTTAAAACAAGAAGAAGAGAAACACATTCTATCATCATTAAGGGAAATTTTGAAGCCTTTTGTTTTAAGACGTGAGAAATCAGATGTCCATTTAAATATTCCACCGAAAAAAGAATTAATTGTTTATGCTCCACTCACACAGTTGCAACATGACTTATATAAAGCAGTTTTAAATTACGACATTGATAGTAAAACTGAGAAAGAATCTATTTTGCAAACATTGGATGGTAGCAGACCTAAAAGAAAGTGTATTTTGAAAAATACATTTAATAACTGTGATAATTTAAACTATCAATTATCATCTCCTATACCAAACAAAGAGTGTACAAAAATAGAACAAGATCTAACTATGTGGAAGCAACATATTGATATTAATGATCAGAATCGTGATTACTTTATCAACCTACGTTTCCGAAACAGGTGTAAGTAATTAACATACAATTGTATATATACATATATATTTTTTGTATGTATCGTTTCTAGACACAAACAACAATTCTAATTGTTATTCTTATTATTGTATATTTTTTTTGCTATTTCAGGGGCTGTATATAAAAAGATTGTCAATCATCCATATTTGATTCATAATCCTGTGGATTTTATTAGTGTTTCAACAATTAATGATGATATTATCAAATCTTCTGGTAAACTTTTAGTAATGGATGCTATGTTATCTAAATTGAAAAGCCAAGGACATAAAGTTCTTTTATTCTCAACAATGACAACAATACTTGATGTCATAGAAGATTATCTTTCATTACGAGATTATAAATATGTTAGATTAGATGGTATAAATAAACTAGAAGAAAGAAGTATAAATATTAAAAAATTTAATACGGACCCTGAATTGTTCTTGTTTCTTATATCTACAAAAGCTGGTGGAACAGGACTTAACCTTGCTGCTGCTGATACTGTGATTATATATGACAGTGATTGGGTATGTTATAATATTATATAGAATTATACAACAAATTATGAGAATTCGTTATAGTATGAAAGTTATATTATATTTAATATATGTATTATATTTGTAGAATCCACAAGTAGATATACAAGCAATGGCACGTTGTCATAGAATTGGTCAAACTCGTCCTGTTGTAATTTATAAATTATGTACTAAAGGAACAATTGATGAAGCAATAGTTAAACGTGCTGAAGCTAAACGGCTTTTGGAAAAGATGGTTATGTCTAAAGAATTGTGTAAGCTAAATATTCACAGTAAGGAAACACTTATAGAATTAAAACAACTTTTAGAATCAAAAGAATCTAAAATTGTTACATCTACAAAAGAAGGTAATTTTTTATAATACAATCTTATATTTATAAATCTGAATTTTTATAACAAATTTAAGTCTATTTTCAATTTTTTATATTTAATATGAAAAAGTATAATAAATACAAGTGATAATTTATTAGTGTTCACAGAAGCAGAACTCAATGAATTAATGGATAGAAGTGATTTGGTATACAACAATCCTGTTGATACAAAAAAATTTACTTGATAAGATTGTTATTATCCTTTAAAGATCAAAGTTCAATTTAATGTACAAATATCAATAGATGGTCATTTTTTCTTGATAAGTATTATATTTATTAATAAGTATTTATTTTATGTATTTTACAGTAAACTCTAGTAAAGTTTTGTTTAATTTTCTAATAAAATAGCATTAATTACATTTTCCTTCCAAATCTATTTATTGAAAAAAATATAAATAAAAAAACTTTTTGCTTATTTCGCATTTTGTTATTTTTCCTTCTTGTATTTGAGTGACTAGTAATAAAATTGATAAGTCACGTTTTTAAATAAAAATGATATATTGTTCCATAATTAACACGAAATATTTGAAAATTAATGTAGATAATCAAAGGAAATAAAAATTGAAAATTTTCTACATTTCACGTTTAGTTGTTTAATTTTAATTATCGTAGGTAACTTATATTTTATATAAACATAATTTTTTCGTATCATAAATTACAAAAATACGTGAGTATTAGCCTAACATAACGATGTAGATGAAATATAATTTATATAAAAGATTTTAAGTATGTTTAGTAAAGCTTATTGTTTTTTCAAACGCATTGTGTTCTTTCCCGTTGAAGAGTTCTTATAAGTTTGAGCCCATTGATCACGAAACTCTGCTTCTAATTTCATATAGGATCCACCTATTTGAAGAAATAATATAATATATATTAAAAGTAATAAAAGATGTAAGCACGTGTATTTATTTTTGCGTGATAGTATATGACTAGTGAAAAAATCATATCTAACTGTAACATATATTTCCTCTTAAATTAAGAATAAACGTCATAAACAAGACTATACATAAATTTATAGTAATATATGTGTATATAATATATGAACTATAGTAATATATATGTTGTGATAATTACTAATATATATAATATATATAATATATATAATATATATATGATCAATTTGGAAATTATATATAACCATCAGTTACTATATAAAATAATCCATTTGGTCAATATTATCAATACTACTATATTTATTATATTAACCAATGATTATATATTATTTCCAATTTATTATATTGACCATATACATATATGTTCATTATTATATTTTTTAATTAAAATATATTAAATTATTTGTAGGGAAAAGAACAAAATGAATAACTTACACATACCTATTGGTAGAATATTTTTATAAATTTGGCTGCGTTGTCTATTATATGATTTTGATAATAGGATGTGTTCTATAGATGTTCTTTTTGTTAACAGTGAAATCATTTGTGCATTAATTCTTTCTTCAAAATCTCTTTGATTATCCTGATTATATCTTACCATTAAACTTGTACTCCAACATTTACCATTTTCTCTATATATATATATATTTGTATAATTTATAGAAAAGAAGCAAAAACATTATTTTATTGATTGATATATACTTATATATGTAAGCACTTATATGAAAGATGCATTTAATAATATATTACATTTATCTATACCTTTTGATAGTTGTAGCTTTCGATTTTTTGTTTGTTTTTTTAATAGTTTTTAAACTGGACCATACTGATGATTCTTCGCTGTCATACGATTCGTTATCCGTGTTATCATCATCATTCATTTCTATTTCATCGTCATCACTAAATGTAACTGAAGAGCTAGTAGAAGATCTACCTGTTATTTGACGATAATCTTTTTGCAAAGGTTTTTCTAGGTCAATGACTTGAGTAGATTTATGAATAACTGATCCATTCCAAATTTTTCCTATATTTAGATAAGCGAATTAAAATTCTCTATAATTTTTCTTGGAATAAGAAATTAATTGAAAATTACAGAAACTTATGTCACATCGTAATTGTCTATTTTCTTTTTTTTCGTAAAAATATTATATTATTTTACTGTACCTAATAGACCAAGTTGCAGTCTTGATGGTACAAGTTCTAAACCATTCCACCACATTGTTTCTTTACATATTAACTTGCCTGGTTGATTGCTTGAATCATGTGTTACTAATCTTGTAATTTTTTCTGGAAAAAATAGCTGAGGGGGTTCTATAGATATAATATCTCTGTATGTTATAAAGATGTTCAATATATTCATATCATTTTCTGTTTTGATATTTGGTAAGTGTTCCTAATCAAAATATATAATTTTTAAATTATATATTATAATAGTTATAGATAAAAACGGAAATAAATAGTTGTTTATATAGCTGTTAATAGTTAAATATATAGCTGTTTATGGACCTTGTATTTGCAGCCTTGTTGGTTTGGTAAAACTTCAAATTTGTAAGCACGTTGACTACAACAGGGATATCTGCCCAATGGAAATGACATAGGTCTCTGATGTTCATTTACAAAAAATTGTGGACATTCAGGATGGTAGCAACACCAACCCATTTGATGTATTGAAAAATATGTATTACAATATTGACAAAAGAGAAAATGACAGTCACCCCACAATCTCCAATATACTTTACGCCATGAACGCAATTCCATCCGCAAGTTTGTAATATATTCATTTAATGACCATGTTGAATCTCTGAGAGAGAAATATCATCTTCTTATTTACAATTAAATAAAATATTTTTTATCATGTAGTATAAAAAATATTACCTTATATGTTTATTATGAATAGTCCCTTTATTATCTATCTGCATAGCAGTTGAAATACATGGAATGAAGTCAGAAATTGATTGCACAACATTTTTATTACATTTTCCACATTTAAATAAAGTAGCCAAAGAACCATAATGTCCCTTTTTATTATCTGGATTAATTTCTATTAATGACATGATAAGCTTACAGAACAATCGGCTTTGAATTTTATCTTTTTTGTCTTGTAAATTTTCTACATCCTCGTTTGTAAATAGTTTAGCTAATCTATATGTTAAAATAAATATTTAAAATAAATTTCATTAAAATATTTATCAATATTCAAAGTTTACCATAAAAAATATTTGATATATTCTACCTTGTAAGAAGATTATCGTTTAAGCATGTTAAAATTGTTGATGTTTTTAAAATATCTGACATATTGTCATGACAATATTGAAAACAATTTTCTAATAACGGTTCCATTTGTAGAAAGGATGCAGAAACCATTATAGGAATAACATTGCTTGCTTCTAAAATAGGCCATTCAGATTTTTTTGTGATATCTTTTTTAACCCATCTCATTAACCAATCAAAAATAACAATATCACAATGGACAGATATATCTATTTCTTCTAATTTCTGGCCAGCTGTTATATCAGCAAAATAATGCATTTTTTGTATCAGTAATTTTTGAGGACATCGGAAATCCTTCTTCATATTTTTTCCCTCGTCACATACATGAATTTCTACTTCTGTCATACTAATGACAAACATAAAGAATGAAAAATATACAATAGCTTTCCTTGTATATTTCTATAATGGTAATTATTTGCAACTATAAGAAATTAATATAAAATATTAATATATTCTCAGCACTTTACTATTATAGTACTTTTTACTGCTTATGAAATATATATTTATATATGTGTATATATATAATAAAAGTAAATATTAGAGAGAAAAAAACTATAATAAATTATTACACAAATATATTGTTCCATGAAAATTAACACATATTACTATTGTATAATGTTAATGCACTTCTGCAATAAAATAGAATTGTTAAAAAAATATATAAAATAATATACTTAGGATTAGTTAAACATCGTATATAATTTTTCATTGATTAATGAATCTTTGTCTATGTACTCCTATTATTTTATATAATATTATTATGTAAATTATTAGCACTGGAAAGCTAAACTAAAATACTTACTCTGCAGCTTTTTTCACTTGTTTATTTTTATCTTTATCTTTAGATATTGACAGATTATTTATTATTCCATTATCAATATCATTGGATAAAGAAGTACTCCTTTTGATGTTTATATTAACAATGGATTTTTTAATAACAGGCTGTGATATTGCAGGCTTTGGAAGCATATATGGCAATATAGAGTCTAACAACCCTTCATGCAATATATCACTCAAATTTTTCCGCAGAATTTTTGTTAAAATAGGTTCTTTTTCTTCTATGTGTTGCTTACTCTTTGATGGCTCTACATGTAATATATGCTCTGATAAATGATTCCTATCCTTAATATCATTCTCTTTTGATTTTGAATTTTGCAAATAATCTTGCTTTTCTGTATAATTTATGGTTTGCAAACACACAATTGACTGATCATGAATACTTTGCAAAGGTTTTATTTCTTTTGTATATTGATTAGTTGTCAAAATTAATTGATTATTGTCATCTGCTGTATTATGCATTATCTCTGGTGTATAGAAATCAATTTTTTCATTTGTACATGTATTTAATGCTTCTGTTAAATCTGACATCTCGTTGTTAGGACTTTCAAGTTCATTTGGAAGATTCTTGTGCAATTGGCTGTCATTTGCTGGATTTTTATTATCAATGGATATGTCCAAATTTAAATTAATTTTTGCCAATTTATTCCAGTTTATTTCACTTTTATTTGAAAGAATAGCAGCTAAACCTTCAAAACTATCATTCACCTGATACGCAGTTCTCATAAATTCAAAGAACATTCCAATTGTCAGTTTTGGATATTTATTATTCTTAATATCATATGTATTTTTAGAGAATCCGTAGGTAAGTTCATCCAGCTGTTTTTGTTGGGATGTATCTTCCAATACATTGACAATTAATATAAAGTATATAATAGATTTGATATATTGTATTGTAAGTTTTAAATTAATGAAGAAAAGACCTTAATATAGTATAGAATTTAAAAATAAAGGTTGATGTGTACCTTTTCGAGTAGCAGAATTTGGTGCTAAAAATGAACACGAATGTCTTTTTGATATTAGATTTCGGTTTTTATTTAATTCCATTTCTGACATATAATAATTTGTATACTTTCTACAAATTTTATTAGATTGTCAAGGATTGGTTTATTGTTTTAAAAGAATTTGATCTATTTCAAATTTTACTTGCATATAATAACATACTTTACTATACACGAAAAATTTTAAGGTATCATATCATATAAATAGTTTAATTTTGTCCATTATAGAATAATTACATCGATTGATACTGACTGAAACCACTAATCGATGTATTAAAA